TTTTTTTTTTTTTTTTTTTTTTTTTTTTCTTGCAACAGCATAGCCTTTATCTAATCATCCTATTAGACGTATCCGCATTGAAGGATGGAAAGGTAATCTATGCCGGAACAAGGCAACCTTATATTTCATATTTTAAAGCTCTAAGCCAATCTGATCGTGCATTGACCTGACGATAAGTGACGAGAAGGAATATAATTTAATACATCTCTGTTACCTTGATGTCACTGCTCCGAAACAGAATACATTCATACACCTTGTCACTTGGAAGGATCTGCGGGAGATCGATCTTTCGTCCTTCTTAACATTTAAGACGTATTGAATACTGTTCAAACATTGGTACTAGTCTTAAGAAGAAATAAATCCATATGTAACATTACTATCAGAACATGAAATGAAATGCATGATACTGACCATACTCATCAATGACCTACATTTGTCAATTGCGACATATTATTTATATGAATTCAAACATGACACCGCCAGCGTTCATATTACGATGAGACGAAACAGAGCGATAACGACAGAGAAACAGCGCTGCCAGAGAGCACGACTTCATACGTACCATTCTTCAGGCCGATGGTAGACTCGTGGACGTTGAGGTGGTAGAGAATTCCTTCATAACGAATCTCGCATTTGAGAATAAAACTCATCGAGCTCCCATTGCATGATCCCACGGAATAAGAAGAAGCTTCAAAGCCAGATTCGGTCGCCATCGATCAAGAAAACTCCAAAACATCGAAATAGATATTAAATAACAAATTGAAACATGAAGCTGAAGCTTGAAGAAACAAACTGGTAGCTTGCTACGATCCAGACGATTAGGGCTTTCTCCTCCGGCCAAGCTTGGTTTGATGCAACGTCTTTCTCCCCATTCGTCAAACAGCAGTAAGCGAATTTGGTTGACGATGGCGCGAACTTGCAATTTACGGTATTTATATGATCGCTTGACCGGCGCCAAAATTTTGGAACGTAAACTATTTTTTTACGGAGTTTTTTAAATATCTTAAATTCTTTAAATAACGAATTTGTTTATTTTTATTAATTACTATACATTTTAATAAATTTTGATTAATCATTTAAAATAATTTTTAGATAATTCATTTATTAAGTATTTTTACAAAATTCACTAATTCATATTTTTAGTTTATTAAAATTTAAAAATATTTATCGTAAATTAATTTTGTTTAAAAATATACTTTCTCCCATTATTTCTTCTTATTATGAGTTATTTTTTAAATAATAAAATCAATAACTAAATTAATTTAAAATGATAAAATTTAATTTATTTACTCATAGATTTTAAATTTATACAATTAATTATTAAATATAAAATTTTGTCCTTGTCTATTTAGTTATTTAACTTTAAAAATTATATAATATATTGTTAGTTTCCAATTTTATATTTTATAAATAAAAAAAATTGTAAAAGTTAAATTTATAATATTTAACAATTTTGTTTAATACCCACATCAGAAAAATTATGTAATATTAAATTAGTTTCAATTATTTAGCTTTTATGGTGATTATAATAATTACATTAATTAAACTTTAATTATAAGTTTAAATTATGTAACTTTAATTATCACTTCTAAAAGGATATTAAATTTTTTTAAAAATATTTATATTTATGAGTTAATTTCTTATGTAATTGGAACATTAAAAACATATGGATATAATTTGGAAATTAAAAAAATAGTTAAATAAGAATTTAATTGTTTTTAAAGATTAAAAGTTAATTATACAAATATTTTTTAAAAAATTATACATATTTATGTTTATGATCGGTAATTCCTTTATTTTTCTTAAAAGTTAAGATTAAATCTGTTCTTCGGAGAGGGATGTGAAAAATTTCGATCTCAATCAACGAAAAACTCGAGCAACCGTAGAAGAAGACGAATTAGGAAGAAGAAATCTGTGTTTCACGGAGCTGTGAAGAACCACCTCTCTCTACTTCTCCGACATCCGGCGACCGCCGGCGAATGTATGTGTTAATTCATACCGAAATTTTCAATTTCAGGTTGAACTGCTCATTTCAGAAGTATTGATAAGTTTGGTATTCTGCGGATTTCTCTGGATCATAAACCCTAGAAGTTTTATGTTAATTTCTGTGGATTTCTGTGAAACGGAGGCTGTTGATTGAAATTAGAAAGTTTGAAGATGGAACAGTTGAAGACGATCGGCAGAGAGCTAGCCATGGGTTCTCAGGGAGGGTTTGGACAGTCGAAGGAGTTTCTGGATCTGATTAAATCGATCGGCGAAGCTAGATCCAAGGCTGAAGAGGAGCGAATTATCATCCAGGAGATGGAAAATTTGAAACGCCGTCTCACCGATCCCGACATTCCCAAGCGCAAGATGAAGGAGTATATTATTCGTCTCGTTTATGTCGAGATGCTCGGTCACGATGCCTCATTCGGCTACATTCATGCCGTCAAGATGACTCATGACGATAATCTTCTGCTGAAGCGCACTGGCTATTTGGCTGTCACCCTCTTTCTCAACGAGGACCACGACCTCATTATCCTCATTGTCAATACCATCCAGAAAGACCTCAAGTCTGACAATTATCTCATCGTCTGTGCGGCTCTCAATGCGGTGTGTAGGCTTATTAACGAGGAGACTATACCTGCAGTGTTACCGCAGGTTGTCGAGTTGTTGGGACACTCAAAGGAGGCCGTTAGAAAGAAGGCCATCATGGCTCTTCATCGCTTCCATCAGAAATCACCCTCTTCCATATCGCATCTTCTCTCCAATTTCCGTAAGGTGGGTTTCAGATTAAGATACTTGGTTGTTGGTTTTTTTTTTTCCCTTCAGTGCCGTGAGAATTTTGCTTGTTTGTTTGTTTTTTTGGTTGTAGAGGTTGTGTGACAACGATCCTGGAGTCATGGGAGCTACACTTTGCCCTCTTTTTGATCTCATTACCACGGATGTACATTCCTATAAAGATTTAGTTGTAAGTTTTGTAAGCATTCTTAAACAAGTAGCTGACCGCAGATTGCCGAAGAGTTATGATTACCACCAGATGCCGGCTCCATTCATACAGGTCCGATAATCTCTGCAACATAGGTTTCTATATGTATTCTGATTGATAAGGTTACTTAGCTGCTAACGTGCCTTCTGCAATGACCTTTTGTCGTTTCCTTTCAATTGAAGCGAACTTAATTGTACAGATCAAATTATTGAAAATTCTTGCATTACTGGGTGCTGGCGACAGGCAAGCAAGTGAACACATGTATACTGTTGTTGGGGATTTATTTAAGAAGTATGATCCTTTGAGTAATATAGGAAATGCTGTACTTTACCAAAGTATATGTTGCGTTGCTTCTATTTTCCCAAATCCTAAGTTGCTGGAAGCTGCTGCTGACGCAATCTCTAGATTTTTGAAGGTTTGGTTGTACTACCCCGCTATGTTAGTGACATTAGTCTACTTTGGCTTTGACCTATATTTACTTTACACACTTTTGTGGCCAGAGTGATAGTCATAATCTAAAATACATGGGCATTGATGCACTTGGTCGACTTATAAAGCTAAGTCCAGATATTGCAGAACAACATCAGCTAGCTGTGATTGATTGTATGGAGGTGAGTGATATTTTTCTCTCTGCCAGGCAGCTAGCCTTGAATAAAATGTGTTTTACATGTACGCAGATAGGGCCGTTACGTTTATAGTTTTTTGTTCTTTTTTGTTTCTGTGGATGTAAATAGATTAAGCTGCATTGCAATTTTATTTTTGTCCTTGGATTTAAAAGTGCAAGTTGCGAGAGGACAGGCATAGTTGTCTCCTAGAGCAACTAATTATCTACTTATTTAAGTGGCAGTGGCTTACAATTGTATTATTTAGAATAATATATAATTTATTCCATTTCAATTACAAATATGTTGACTACAACTCTATATTGAAAGTTGATTTATATGCACGCCACTATGAGTTATATTTGATCCATGTTTTGGTATTTGTTCCTCAGGATCCTGACGATACCTTAAAGAGAAAAACATTTGAATTATTGTATACTATGACCAGGTCCACCAATGTAGAAGTGATTGTCAATCGCATGATTGAATATATGATAAGCATTACTGACCACCATTATAAGACATATATTGCATCGAGATGTGTTAAACTAGCCGAGGAATTTGCACCTAATAACCATTGGTTCATTCAGGTATTTGGACCTTATCTCCTTCTTGTTTGTTTGTTGAGTGATTATTATTACTGTTCGAGTATCAGCCAGATCCTTTAATCCTCTTCAGACCATTAATAAAGTTTTTGAACACGCTGGAGATTTGGTGAATATTAAAGTTGCACATGATTTGATGCGGTTGATTGCGGAAGGATTCAGAGAGGATGGTGATACAGTAGATAACCAGCTGAGATCATCTGCTGTATGTAACTTCATTAGCACTCTATTATTATGTTTGCTAAAATTTTATCATAGGCACGATGTAATAGTATTATGATGCACTTTTGGATATCATATGATAGCCTCATGCTTCATAGTACTGCGTATCTTTTAAAAAAGTCATAGCGTGTGCCTATTGGAAGTTTTTCAACGTGCACCCAAGATTCAAAAATCTGTTGTGCCTCAGCGCTCTTCACGCTGTTAAAAATCTGTGACTTTATTAATTGTGTTTAAGTTACGACGATTTTTTAGCACCTCTTAGCATCAGTTTAGGAGCCTTTATGATACCAGAAGTTTTTTTGTTGCCTCTCATTGATGTCCAAACTTGTATTTATATCTATTGACTATTGATTTTGTTTCCCATGACAACACACTTATATTTGTTTTAAAAGTGTTTATAAAATGGTATCATTACGTATTAACAGCTATGGGCTGACCCAGTGTTAATAAGGGTCAATGGAAATAGTAAAGGACACTAGAGGAAATGGTAGAAGTCAGGGTGGTCAGCTACCTTATATTTAATACTTTACTAGTTACCTTGCCAACCAATTATAGAGGGTCTAAGATTGTCTCATAAGAACAGCGGAGGTGCGCGTAAGTTGGCATTTTATCCTCCATGTTTTATTTGGAATGTGTTGACCATAGGCGAAACCCCAAAGATCGTATTTTTGGGATTGAATGTCAATGAATTATTTCTTAAAACTTCCGTCCTTTTACTGCGGTAGTTTCCTTATTAAATTAAACTATTTCATGCATAGGTGGAGTCATATTTGCGCATTATTGGGAACCCGAAGCTTCCATCTGCATTCCTTCAGGTACAATTCTCCAGTCTCTAAAAAACTGCAAAAATTACACTCCTTTTTAATACCTTGAGTTAGTTCAATTTCAGGTCATCTGTTGGGTTCTGGGAGAG